AGAGCTTTTATTTACTCACATTTTTATGCATCAAATTTAACATTTTTACCTTTTTGACTCATGACGTCATCATTGGCAAGTCAGTTTGTGACTCACTGAAATTTGACATTGTAACTATCAATACTAACTGCAAGAGTATGGGATTAAGAATGCCAGTACTTTATGACATAGTGGCCAACAAGTTTTCGTGTTGCCCTCCATTGGGTAAAGGCTAAGATGTGTGCCACTTGAACAAGTGTAGGCTTACCAGATTAACTCTGCAAAGTCATAACCTTTTTGACAGTTAGGCAGGCTCAAAGGGCATGAGTCTTATCTGGGCTGCCAACTGGCCATGTTAAATTTTAGGTGATAAATGGCAAGCTTAGGTGTACACAAATTTTTTTATGCCCAGAGCAACTGTGTGGAAATTTTCACTTTTTAAAAAAAAAAAAAATTGCAAAAATTTAAATATATAAATGTGAGAATTTAGCCAAAAATTTAGTGCAAAATAGGCGTGAAAGAAGACATTTTTGCATGCAAAACAAATTAATACAGTAAAAATTTTTTTAATGGTGAAGTATATTGAATTCTATTATTTCAAAGCACTTAAATAAGTCTAATTATTTTAAATATTAGAAAAAGTTAAGCAAAGAAGTAACAATTAAAATAAATTAGTAATTCTTTGTAAAGTTTAAGTGAAAAAAGAAAAATTAATGCTCACACAGTTTATATACAGTCGACCCCCGTATAAGATCATTGATTATTCCGTTTTATATGAATTCCATGTTGTACGAGTCACTTAAATTTTACAAATTCGTGAGCCGTTCACAGCCCGGTACATGATTTGTAAAATCTAAGTGACTCGTACAACATGGAATTCATATAAAACGGAATAATCAATGATCTTATAGGGGGGTCGACTGTATTTAAATTTTAATTTTATTATAGTATTTCTGAAGTTCATATTTTTATAAATACCGAAAACAGCAAAATAATCCATTTTTACTTAGTTTAAACTTTTTTTCTTCCTTAATTTGCCATTTTAACATCAAAATAACTGATTAATTTTAAATTCTTAAATGGACTTAAAAAGTCTAGCATAGTGTACGTAGATGGCATAACTGGAAATATATCAAACTATATGAGTGTTTTTAATTTAAACTTGATATTGATTTTGACTAAATTATTTTTAAGAATACAGTAGAGCGTCAATTATCTGAAAGTCAATCATCCAAAACGTCAATTATCGAAAGAATTCCAGTCGGCAAATTTAAATTTTCTCCAGTGCTCTGGCGCTGCAATCTTTGGCTATGTCTTGGGCTACTCAAATATTTTATGTTTTTGACACTAAATTAACTTCTGAAATATAATTTTATATTGTTTTTATATTTTTCAATATATTTATTTTGTTTGTACAAAATAAAAAAATAATTTTTAACAATACAATAGTCTTCGTTAGGCATAACATCGACAAAAATTCAACGCAAAGCGACACGCAACAGAGAAAAATTTCAACATGGGATAGGTTAATATATTTTTTCGTACATAATCGGTTATCCGAAATATCAGTTATCCGTACAACCCCAGTCCCCAATTGATTCGGAAAATCGACGCTCTACTGTAATTGCTTTTCTAGATCTAATGTGATAAACAATTTATAAATGTTGATTTTAATTATTAGTTTCATGATATTGAAAAAAGACTACTAAATTAATAATTAGTAAAATTATTTAAATTTTTCTTACCTTAAAGAAACTTATTATTCTAAACTTCAATTTAATTGAAATTGTTATCTGATAAGAAGGTTGTTTAATTTATACTTTCAATGTATTTACTTTAAAACAAATTTTTTTTCATTTGCAAATAAAAATGATGTAATTTTGTTCTTTTTCTTTTTAATGTTTGCATATTTATAATGATAAGAAAGATTACAAATGAATGAATATCATTAAAATATTTTTTCACAATGGTACAATTATACATTTTTTAAGATTTTAATTTGAGATATTGCAAATTAACAATTAAATTAGTTTTAATAGTAGTGAATTAATTTTAAATTGAAAGCCAAATATTTTATTTTTTTAATACAAATTTAATTCATTGCTGCTAAGGTACTGTATAAATTTATCAATAAAATTGTTTATAAAGACCACAAATTTTGGATCCTACTTAAAGATTATATTTTTCTATTTAAATTATTAATAGATTTTTATTTAATTTTTAGACTATATTATATTTTTTGAAAAATCATGTGGCCTACAGAAGAATCATCAAATGATAGTCGAAGAGTGGAAAGAGAAAGAGATCGCCGTCATAGGTAATTTAAATAATATAGAAAATGTTTATTATTTTGTTATATTTTTGAATAAATATATCATTGTCACAAAATAAAATTATCATACAAATATTTTTTCATAATATTTTGGAGGATTTTGATATGTTGTATATAACTTAAAATCATGAACTGAGATAAATCTGTTATTGATATTAAGATTCTATATAAAATTTTATAGACTAAACATTATTTGTAGTATTAAGGAAATGTAATATTTAAATAAAAATTTTAAAAATAGTGAAAAAATCACATAAAACAATTTGCTTTCAAAAATTTAAGAGTATAATACAGGGTGTACCAAAGTTCCCTTATTCAATCTTTCAGATTTTTTTATTAATAAAACATAACCTGCTGACAAAATGTAAATAAACAAAACACATCTATAGTCACCCACAGGAAACACTAATAACACCTAGTGAGTAAAGTAGGAATGTTAAAAAGAGGGATTGTTTGATGTTGACACTATTCAAATAACTATGTTTTGCCAAGATATTTTGTTGAAATTTGCTTGTTTATGTATAATACTTTTGAAGACTGCTCTAAAAATAAGAATAAATATTATAATGTAAAGTTTTTTTGTAGTTACTGGTTGCATACAAGCCTAGAAAATTAAGATATTTGCTTAAGCAACCATTATTTTTTACAAAGTAAAGCCACCTGTTGTCGCTAGTGCTCCTATTTTGGCCACATCTTTTATTTAATTATTTTAAACTTTCCATCAAGAATATTGCATATTGCAACTGAAACATCAATGACAATAAATAATCTTTGCTTTTCTTAACTAGTTATCAATGGCTGCCTAATCCAAGTGAATCTTGTCAGGCAACTAAAGTAGTAATCCTTAAGTTTATTAGTCTTTCATTTACTAAAACTACAATAGAGAATTGGATTACAAATTTATCTTTTAAATAACCTACATTTTAATCCTTAGATGGTTGGCCACAAATAGATATAACAATCTTCACTTACCTATTCTGGCAATGAAATCAGCCATTGTTGTGACTATGAGCAATAACTCACACAAAGGCTGAGACTATGAACAATAACACATGTAAAACTTACACACTTTATTTTGGTTTGGGATTGGATACACAAATAACAGTGAGACAATGGTCCTACTCTCTAATCTAGTCTCTCTCATGTTATTTTTCCTTTTTTTCCCGACAAGAGGCGTCCTAGTCAGTATATCCCTCACAGCCATAAATGGTTTATCAGTTTTCATTTGTGGTCTCTTACTAATCTAAAGACTTGGTTGCTACAGTATTTAGGTACCTACCTACTTGCATGGTTTAGTAAAGATTAGGTAGGTATTAATCTTTACTAAATATGTTTATCTGTTAAATAACTTCTAGCATGATGAATTATAAAGAATTCATGTAAAACTAATCCTATGTAATACAGTTTGTTACTTACTGTTCATTAGATATGGGACATACTGTATTACAAGGAAACACAAGTGTTATGCTCAAATTAAAATGTCTTTGGCAATTTTAGGTCTGCAGGAAAGACACCTTTGTCTTTTTTTCAAATTTTGATAAAGAAATTGCTGTGATCAAAGTAAATAAGGATGTGGAATTTATTGAAAAGTTATTCAATTTGCTTCACATATTTTACTTTCAATATTACTTATCCATTATTGTAAAAAATGTAAAAGAATTGCTTGAATAAAAGTAACATTGCTTTGTAAAAAGCTGGAAGTAGATTTGTTTATAGATTACTGGAATTTTAAAAAAAGTAATAATGAAAATAGAAATAAACCTAAAGCACTGGAATATCTGTTTTAAAGTACCCTTTTTTATATACAATAGGACAAATAACAGTCACAGCTTAAACTGAGTAACATTTTATTCAGCTGCTGAGCAGACAATCATAGACTTCCTTATATCTCTTTCCAATCTTTAACTTCAAAACTCATACTTTTCTTAATTTAATTTCTACCAGAAACTTGTGAAAGCAAATTTTCTGTTCATTATACTAATCTCCCTGTTTGTATTTAAACTGAGGTAAAGAGCAATATCACACCATTGTTTTAATACAAAGTTAAAAGATATCTATATGCATTATCGTTGATTTGTAGCCATGTGGTTTACATTTCACTAGCACCATCACCAAATGCTGTGGCAGCCATGGGAGAAAGTAGATGCTCAGTTGTATTCAGAAATTTTATAGTAGCTGCTAGAAGTGTCTGTCTTCCATCTGAAGACAGAGATTTACTTGACAACACACATTCCAATCTTTAACATCTTACTCATGCATTGTAACATTACTTGCTAAAATGTTGCATTTCAGATTATCCAAATTGCACAGATTATTTACACAAGCTCTATCCTTTAGATCAGGAGTGGCCAACCTTTTTGGGAAGTGCGCCACTATCTGAAAAAAAAACTTATGTGTGCCACTTTCAACTTTTCCAACATACTAAAAAATATAAAAAAGTGAAAAAATGTTATTTATAGACTGATTATGGGATTTTTATGCAAATAGCACATTTTTTTCATGTAAGTCTGAGTAGTGGAGATTTAAAAAATAATATAATAAATAAAACAAAAGTACAAACTTAGGTTTTATTGTTAATAAACATTTTTAAAGGTTCAGTCAGTTAGGTTATATATAAAATAAAAATGAATAACTTGAAACTTTTAATTCTAAATAATTATTTAAACAGTCAGTACTTAATTAATGTGGCTTTTGAATTTGTAGTTTTTTTTACCAAGTCATCTATATTAGGATTAGTTCTTGAAGATGCTAACAAAATTAGGTGTTTTAGATGCATATCAGTTAATCTTGAATTCTGTTTTGATTTTATTATGTTCATAATAGAAAACATATGTTGATCCAAACCTACAACAATATCTGACAGCCAAATTGTGTAATTTTGAAAAGTGCTTGTTGGTACAAATTTCCAAAATTTGATACAATTTGGATCACTTGCAGTTGAAATAAGTTCCTTATATTTGCTTTTCAGTGTAGTATGGTTCTGTAGGTCAATAATTTCAATTTGGATTTCAGGTGGGTAACAATTAACATCTTGCAGAGAAATTGAAAAAGGATTCGACAGGATATTTGCTGTTGAAATCACTATGCATTTGTTTGAAATTTTTCTGGCACTGCTACACAAATTCCACATATCAAACAAATAGGCTTGGAAGCATTTTGATGCGTAAACAAAAATTATTCTTTCCAGACAGTTTTAAAATCACAAATTGCAATATTCTCTTCATATTTTTGTTTCAATGTCAAAGGTTTACTCATGGACATAATAGAGCGGTTGTGGCCGACGTTTTCATTGTGAAAACGTGTATGTCATACATTCAGCGCCGCCTTCCTGTAAGCCTAGAAGCTTGACAATGGTGTTTGGAATGTCAGTTGAATTATGCTCGATGTATCAAATGCCATTGTCAAACTTCTAGGCTTACAGGATGGCGGTGCTGAACATCCGATGTACACATTTTTGCGATGAAAACGTCAGTCGCAACCTTGCTAGTGAAAATAAAATCTTTAAAACAACAACGCTCAACTCCAAAATCAAAAAACAGTTTAAAGAAAGCTTAACATTTTGCTCGGCAGTTTAAAATCAACTGAGCCAGACAGACAGAGTGTCACACTTGCTCTCGTTTGAGAAAGGACCAGCTTTGCCAGATGTTTTTAGTGTTTGTAGCCAAAAATTTTATAAAAGTAGCCAATGTGCCAAATGATATTTTTTTATGCCAAACTAAAAAAAGAGTAGCCAAATTTGGCTACCCTTTTTTTTTAGCAAAGTAGCCAAATCTGGCAACGCTGGAACAGACAACCATAGCAAGACACAACGGCGCCAAAGCAAGGCAACTCAAACCAAATTATTGGGCTCGTCCCATGACCACACTGTCTTACTGCATCATTGTACTGGTGTCAAGCAGTGTCGCTTTCCGGCACTGTTGTATTCAGTAGCATATGAGTAGGGTTTTTATGGACTTTGACAAAGTTCCTGAAGACGACATTATTTTTTTCAATTTTTTTAGTTTTTCAATAAGTCTTCGCGTTCCACTGTTTAAACTCTGTCGTGCCACATTGTGGCACACATGCTGCAGGTTGGCCATCCATGCTTTAGATACATATGTAAAAAAAAATCTGATAAGAGTTAAATATGGGATTGAGATGGCCACAAGTCCTTAGAAATAATGTCGTGATCAAAAAGAAGATTCAGGTTTCGTGAACCTTTGAATAAGTTTGTACAAAGTAGCCTACTTGGTAGTACATCATTGAAAAAATTTTTCTTTCAAATTTCCACATATACTTTCTAAAATTTGTAACAAAATAAGCCTCCAAAGATGTAATTCTTTATATTGGTTAATTAAGCATCATATTTGACATGGCCACATTTCTTGCTTTCCAGTTGATGATACACCTGTATGAATTAGTTCAAAACACTTTCAAGATGGCCACAAATCCAAATCAGTAATGCTCTATTTTGTACTTTATCAGTTTTTCAACTTGCCAGGAAAAAATTTTCAAAACTTGAGTAAGGGAATTTTTGGTATATTTAGTAGGAAAACAGTTGATAAAATTATTAATTTGTCAAATTCCTTGACATATTTCCTTTTTAATTATTTTTCTGGCTGTACAAAACTATTTGCATACACATATTGCAAAACATATCAATAAAATTAAATAAATAATATACCTACACACTTAAGTTTAATAAGCTTAAATTTATATAAATTTGTCTTTTTAAATACAACTATATGATTTAATAAATTTTCCTGTAAAAAATGATAAACCACTTAAGAAATTGATTTACTTTATAAAAATATTTNTACTAGCTTACCCGTCGCGCATTGCTGCGATCTCAGAAGAGATGAAATTCAAGCAAACTCGTTATAATAAAATTAAATTTTCATTTTATCATTTTTATTGAAATATATTATTATTATTCGTTTTCATCGGGAAAACATTTCAAAGTGTCGTTTCAATTCTATTTATTTATTGGAGTGCTCGTGGATACACGATATTTTTTGTTTTTTCGTCTGGTGCGTACACGAATAATTCGGAAGGTTTTCCGACGCGTGAGCTGGCCACATACAGTTGTCCATGCGAGAAGCACGGATTCTCCAAATTTAGCCCACACACTTGCAGCGATTGTCAAAAGCGCGATATTCCCCATTTATATATATATTTTTAAATCCTTTATAATTTTAATTATTTAATTGCTCCTTCCTCTCTTCCTTGGCATGTTGGGAAATTTCTGATAGTTAGATAATAAACCGTTTTATTGTAATTTGTCTTTTTAAATTATTTCGAGTCGATATTAAAATTTGAAAAAGGGCGATACCTAGATCGGTAAAATAGGCGAATTTCTTCCTACAACTTCGGTCGTTGTTCGGGGTACAGTTAAGATTTTAACGAAGTTCGAGCGAAAACATAATTAGCAAAAAAAGTCGAAATAAAGTGATTAAACAAAAATGATTACAAATATCGTAAATAACAGTTCACAAATGCATATACAGAGACATATATATTTTTGAAGGGGGGAAATGGTCTTCACAATTTGAAATCGATCAAACACACTATGCGCGAATGCTCGTGTAAACGCGCGCCATCTATCGTAGGATAAATGTACTTCGCGGGAGTGTATTAAAAAACTTCCCGAAGTTTCATGGCAATCGTACTATGCCACAAACCTTCGCCGGAGTATATTAAACAACTTCCCAAAGTTTCATGGCAATCGGATAAACGGTGTGGTAATGCATGAAGGACATAGGACACACAGACAGACATACATTCATTTTTATATATATAGATATATTTTGAAAAATTATTTAAAATTTTTATTTTTAGTTTAAATATATTTATCTTCTAGAGATAAAAATTTATATTATTGAATTAATTATAGCAAGCAAATGTATTTTTGTTTTTAAGCTTTTAATATTTTGTTTTATTTAAATTTTTTTAGATCACGCTCTCGTAGTAGAGAAAGAAGACGATCTCGTAGTAAAGAAAGAAGGTATAGCTTAGATATGGGTCTTGTAAAATTTAAGAAAATTGTATTAAATTTTTTACTTTTCAGGATCAGAACTGAAAATTTTATAAACTTTACAACTTCATAAAAATAAGAAATACAATGAAAATTAATAACATTGATGTTTATAAACTTAAAACACTAATTTTTAGCTTGTGAAATTTTCAAAGATAGATGTTTTTCTGTCTTTCAGCTTATATTAATTTATAATGTCTTCTGCTGTTTACAGATTTATTATTTTACTTTACATAAGTTACTATATTTGAAAATCTGTAATATTTTTGATTTTTTCAAAACAAAGTTTTAAATAAAAGAAATTGAAAATAATAATAGTAAAAATAATTTATATGTGCTATATTCATAGTAAAATTTAAATTAATAACTTAACAATACAAACTAAATAATTGTGAGGAACAATGAAAGATACCTCTGTGGGGTCTGTTCGACATTGGCCAATGCCACTCGCCTTAGAGGTCGTCCATAAGGCGAAAGATTACGACCCTTGCTTTGCCTGTGATCTGTCAAAATGATGCAAGAAAGCCTTTTTATGTATGGGAGTAGTGGTTTGTTGGACGCAAAGATGACTCACACAGAGACCATAATTTAAAATTATATCATGTTTATTTAAACAAAGACATCATGCTTACAAATAAGATCAAAAGGGTGTACTATAACCAACTTGCAACCTCGGATGATCCTGNATATTTAAAAGGAAGCATGATTAATTGAGATAACAGATTTTTATTAAATTTTTATATATTTTAAAGACAATAAAATATAATGAGAAACAATTTCAGATTATTTAAAAATGTAATAAAGCTGATGTTTTGTTTTTATTAGTATTCACTTATCACTAAGGATTGTAATAAGTGAAGACTTTACACCAGGGTTGGCCAACCTTTTTGGGAAGAGTGCCACTATCTGAAAAAAAAAAATTATGCATGCCACTTACAACTTTTCCAACATACTAAAAAATATAAAAAGGTGAAAAAATGTTATTTATAGACTGATTATGGGATTTTTACACAAATAGCATATTTTTTTTTCACGTAAGTCTGAGTAGTGGAGGTTTAAAAAATAATACAATAAATAAAACAAAAGTACAAACTTAGGTTTTATTGTTAATAAACATTTTTAAAGGTTCAGTCAGTTAGGTTATATATAAAATAAAAATGAATAACTTGAAACTTTTAATTCTAAATAATTATTTAAACAGTCAGTACTTAATTAATGTGGCTTTTGAATTTGTAGTTTTTTTTACCAAGTCATCTATATTAGGATTAGTTCTTGAAGATGCTAACAAAATTAGGTGTTTTAGATGCATATCAGTTAATCTTGAATTCTGTTTTGATTTTATTATGTTCATAATAGAAAACATATGTTGATCCAAACCTACAACAATATCTGACAGCCAAATTGTGTAATTTTGAAAAGTGCTTGTTGGTACAAATTTCCAAAATTTGATACAATTTGGATCACTTGCAGTTGAAATAAGTTCCTTATATTTGCTTTTCAGTGTAGTATGGTTCTGTAGGTCAATAATTTCAATTTGGATTTCAGGTGGGTAACAATTAACATCTTGCAGAGAAATTGAAAAAGGATCCGACAGGATATTTGCTGTTGAAATCACTATGCATTTGTTTGAAATTTTTCTGGCACTGCTACACAAATTCCACATATCAAACAAATAGGCTTGGAAGCATTTTGATGCGTAAACAAAAATTATTCTTTCCAGACAGTTTTAAAATCACAAATTGCAATATTCTCTTCATATTTTTGTTTCAATGTCAAAGCTTTACTCATGGACATAATAGAGCGGTTGTGGCCGACGTTTTCATTGTGAAAACGTGTATGTCATACATTCAGCGCCGCCTTCCTGTAAGCCTAGAAGCTTGACAATGGTGTTTGGAATGTCAGTTGAATTATGCTCGATGTATCAAATGCCATTGTCAAACTTCTAGGCTTACAGGATGGCGGTGCTGAACATCCGATGTACACATTTTTGCGATGAAAACGTCAGTCGCAACCTTGCTAGTGAAAATAAAATCTTTAAAACAACAACGCTCAACTCCAAAATCAAAAAACAGTTTAAAGAAAGCTTAACATTTTGCTCGGCAGTTTAAAATCAACTGAGCCAGACAGACAGAGTGTCACACTTGCTCTCGTTTGAGAAAGGACCAGCTTTGCCAGATGTTTTTAGTGTTTGTAGCCAAAAATTTTATAAAAGTAGCCAATGTGCCAAATGATATTTTTTTATGCCAAACTAAAAAAAGAGTAGCCAAATTTGGCTACCCTTTTTTTTTTAGCAAAGTAGCCAAATCTGGCAACGCTGGAACAGACAACCATAGCAAGACACAACGGCGCCAAAGCAAGGCAACTCAAACCAAATTATTGGGCTCGTCCCATGACCACACTGTCTTACTGCATCATTGTACTGGTGTCAAGCAGTGTCGCTTTCCGGCACTGTTGTATTCAGTAGCATATGAGTAGGGTTTTTATGGACTTTGACAAAGTTCCTGAAGACGACATTATTTTTTTCAATTTTTTTAGTTTTTCAATAAGTCTTCGCGTTCCACTGTTTAAACTCTGTCGTGCCACATTGTGGCACACATGCTGCAGGTTGGCCATCCATGCTTTAGATACATATGTAAAAAAAAATCTGATAAGAGTTAAATATGGGATTGAGATGGCCACAAGTCCTTAGAAATAATGTCGTGATCAAAAAGAAGATTCAGGTTTCGTGAACCTTTGAATAAGTTTGTACAAAGTAGCCTACTTGGTAGTACATCATTGAAAAAATTTTTCTTTCAAATTTCCACATATACTTTCTAAAATTTGTAACAAAATAAGCCTCCAAAGATGTAATTCTTTATATTGGTTAATTAAGCATCATATTTGACATGGCCACATTTCTTGCTTTCCAGTTGATGATACACCTGTATGAATTAGTTCAAAACACTTTCAAGATGGCCACAAATCCAAATCAGTAATGCTCTATTTTGTACTTTATCAGTTTTTCAACTTGCCAGGAAAAAATTTTCAAAACTTGAGTAAGGGAATTTTTGGTATATTTAGTAGGAAAACAGTTGATAAAATTATTAATTTGTCAAATTCCTTGACATATTTCCTTTTTAATTATTTTTCTGGCTGTACAAAACTATTTGCATACACATATTGCAAAACATATCAATAAAATTAAATAAATAATATACCTACACACTTAAGTTTAATAAGCTTAAATTTATATAAATTTGTCTTTTTAAATACAACTATATGATTTAATAAATTTTCCTGTAAAAAATGATAAACCACTTAAGAAATTGATTTACTTTATAAAAATATTTTAAATATACAGAAATTACTCAAATTAGTGTGGTTAATGCATTCTAGAAAATTATTGCATTAATTGGATCCAAATAATTAAGGAATATATTTAATAAGTAAAATGATTGTTTATTTGAAATGAATTTTTTTTTTCAGTTTAAATGATGATTAGAACTCTCTTAATAATAGATCATAGTTTATAAAAAAACTACAAGAGGATGAAATAAAAAGATTCTATTAAATTTAATTATTATTACTTTGCTACTAAATTTTAAAATATTTTTATTAAAAAAGATTAAGTTATCCAATGTTTTTCGGACTTGTCTCACTGTTATTTTCTGCACAAATTTCCCAGTAACACCAAATTATGTTTTTTTTTTTTAAATGCTCTTTTGTGTAAGTACTGCATTCTTCATCTGAGTCATTATTCAAAACTGACAAGTGAGCTAGAAATGGTCCTTTTAAAAATATGCGTAAAAACATTGTGCAACATTAAAGGTGAGGTAGTAAAAAGTGAATGGCTGGACTAAGCTCAACTAACCATTTTGCCATTCCCTAATTTCAAAATTTGAATTTGACATATTCTTAAAACTTACATGAAATATTGTATTTTAATTGAGAAACTATTATATAAGAATGATGGTATTGGACTTGCTGATTGAGTGATAAAATTTGCTGGAGAGGATTTTCCTGGTTGAAGTGATAAAATTCTTTAATACTACTGTATAATATATGCTGAGTAGCCAAATTATTAGAGACACTGCTCACTCTAACTTGGACGAGTGGATTTGTTAGTGACACATGGTGGTGTAATAGCACTTAGTATATAAAAGACATGCTCAGTATCAAGAGAACTGTTTATCAGTACAGTTAACCTGGCTTGGATAGGACAAAAGATATAAATTTCAATCAAGGCATGTTAATGGGAGCAAGAAGACCCTGTTCCAGTATTTTGAAAACCATTAACATCCTCAGCTTTTCTCATGCAACAGTACCTCGTGTATTCAGAAAATGGCAGTTGGGCCAAAAAATAAGCAATAAATGCAACTGTGAATGAAAAAGGCTTGTGGATCAGAAGTAACAGGCTGCTGGCATAAATCATTCACAGCAACAGAAGGGAAACAATATGACAGATTGCATCTCAGTACAATGCAGATGCAGGCAGCAAAAAGCATATTTGAATTCACAGCAACCAGATCTTATCTTGGATTGGTTTTAACTACAGAAAACTATCAAGGGTGCATTTGCTATCAAAGAAAAACAGAAAAGCACTCCTCAGTGGGCCCAGAGGCATCACAATTGGACACTTGATGAATGGTAAAAGGTCACTTGGTCTGACATGTCTTAGTTCCTTCTCTTCCATGCTGATGGCAGGATCAGAATATGCCAATAGCATAAATCTGTGGACCCATCTTGCCAAGTGACAATCCTAAAAGCTGGTGAGTGGAATAATGGTCTGGGGAATGTTCTCCTGGGACGCACTTGGTCCCCTAATAACCTGGAAACATCTCTTAATTCCATAGACTACTTCAACATTGGGCATATTCAACATCTCAGTGTCAAGCCAGTGAGATGCTGCCAGAATTGATGCCTTGAGTGAACATAAACACTGACTGCTGGAGATATTGGGAAAGAAAAATGGCAAATGATATGGACTTCCACATTACATTAAATTTATTTTTGAACTTATTTAATGAGAACAGCTTAATGAAAAATGAATATTTTGAAAAGAAAAAGAGGGATGAAGATTTTTTTAATTTCCATAGAAGTTATAAATAATTAAATCAATTCTAAGATTTCACTTTAACAACTAAAATGATATGATGTCCTATGTAAATATACCAGTATATTAAAATATTCTATTAATGTACAGTACCAACCTAATCTTAATTTATTCAAGGGTACTGTACATTCATCAATAAATAAATTAAGTTCAAAATTGTCAATGCAAAATAGAGCTCTTATGAGTCCCATAATGGTTGCCATCTTATTTGCTGGAGTATTGAGCACTGAAAAAGACATTTGCAGTTTGCTTGCAGCACACTGGCAGCAACTGGAATTTGTCAGAGATTTTGAACAGAGGCACTGAGAGGTTCTGGAAGTGCTGAGATTTTGAATATGGTTATTGTTGCTGACCGGGTTCATTCACTATTGTCTACAGCAGGGGTCGCCAAACTTTTTTTAACTGTCGACCCTCAACCACTTTCCAAAGCCTCACATTGACCCCCACCATAAAGTTTTATTACAAGTGTATGTGTATGAGCAAAAAAAAAAAAAA